GAATTTCGACACTCTATTGTCTAGGCAAGATTCTCGAATCCTTAGTTCACGAAGCCATCTTGACTGCAGCAAAACCGCTGATATCTGAATTCCAGTATGGGATTGTGCCTCGTCACTCAACAACAACTATTTAATCTGATGTGTTATACTACAGTTTATTTCGAAGGCATTTGACACTGTGTCGCATACCTACGCCGTGGAGAAGCTGAAACACATGAGTTTTAAAGAATCGGTAACGGACTGCATACGTACATACCATACCAATCAGGCTAAGGCCTTGTTGTCCTCTGCTGTCTGAAGAAGTCGTCTCCACTCTACTCGATCCATGGCCACACTTCGCCAGCCTCGTAGTCTGCGAAAGGTCCGCAGGTCGCCTTCTACTTGGTCGATCCACCTTGCCCACTGCGCGCCTCTTCTTCTTGTTCCTGTTGAGTCGCTTTCTAGAACCATTTTCACTGGGTCGTCGTGCGGCATTCTTACGACGTGTCCAGCCCACCGTAGTCGCCCAATTTTTGCAATGTGGACGATGACTGGTTCTCCCAGCAGCTGGTGCAATTCGTGGTTCATTCGCCTCCTCCACGTTCCGTCATCCATCTGCACTCCACCGTAGCTGGTATGCAACACCTTCCGTTGGAAAACAACAAGGGCGCGTTGGTCCTCCACGAGCATAGTCCAGGTCTCGTGGCCGTAGAGGACCACCGGTCTAATCAGCGTCTTGTAGACAGTCAACTTCGTGCGTCGGCGAATTTTATTCGACCGAAGCGTCCTCCGGAGTCCAAAGTAGGCACGATTCCCTGCCATAATGCGTCTTTGAATTTCTTTGCTGGTATCATTTTCCGTGTTCATCAGTGAGTCCAAATACACGAACTCATCGACCACCTCGATTTCGTCACCGTCAATCTGAACTCGGGGTGGGAGGCTAACATTGTCTTCCCTAGAACCTCTTCTTTTCATATAGTTTGTCTTCGATGCGTTGATGGCAAGTCCAATCCGCCTAGCTTCAGCCTTCAGTCTGATGTACGTTTCCGCCACCGTCTCAAAGTTCCGTGCCATGATGTCAATGTCATCGGTGAAGCCAAGAAGTTGGATGGACTTCCTAAAGATCGTGCTACTCGTGTCTATCCCAGCTCTTCTGATCATACCTTCTAACGCGATGGTGAATAGCAGACACGAAAGTCCATCACCTTGCCGTTGCCCCCTTTGAGATTCAAAGGGACTCGAGAGTGTCCCCGATACTCGAACAACGCACATCACTCGATCCATCGTCGCCTTGACCAATCGCGTTAGTTTATCCGGAAATCCGTACTCGTGCATCATCTGCCATAGCTGATCTCGATCGATTGTGTCGTATGCGGATTTGAAATCGATGAACAAATGATGTGTGGGCACGTTGTATTCGCGGCATTTCTGCAGAACGTGCCGAATCGCGAAAATTTAGTCCGTAGTAGCGTGGTATTTCCCCACGAACTCTCTTGCAAATGGTGACAGATGGCGGCATAGAATCTGGGAGAGTACCTTGTAGGCGCCGCTCAGCAGTGTGATCGCGCGGTAGTTGCAGCAATCCAACTTGTCGCCCTTTTGGTAGATTGGGCATACGATACCTTCCATCCACTCCTCCGGTAACATCTCCTCATCCCAAATCTAAGCAATTACCCAGTGTAGCGCTCTAGCCAGTGCTTCACCACCGTAATTTAATAGCTCACTTGGTAATTGATCTACACTAGTTGCTTTGTTGTTCTTCAGCCGACCGATCTCCTCCTCAATTTCTTGAAGATCAGGGGCCGGTAGTCTGTCGTCTTCTGCGCGTGCTCGAAGGTCTGTTGCCGTGCCACCTTCGTTTTCTGCTGCTTCACCGTTGAGGTGCTCGTAATAGTACTACTTCCACCTCTCAATCACCTCACACTTGTTCGTGAGAAGGTTACCGTCCAAGTTCTTGCACATATCGGCTTGCGGCACGTAGCCTTAGCGCGAAATATTTAGCTTCTCGTGGAACTTCCGTGTGTCGTTTACGCGGTACAGATTTTCCATCGCCTCGCGATCTCGGTCTTCCTGCTGACGCTTCTTCTTTCGGAAAACCGAGTTTTGTCTGTTCCGCGCTTGTCTGTATCGCTCCACATTCAATCTCGCCCGTGCTGCATTCGTCTCCTCTACTAACAGTTACATCTGCATTCAGTCAAACCAGTCATTTTTTCGGTCCGGGATTGCAGTACCTAGTGCCACTGCAGCACTACTACCTATGGCGGAACAGATGTCTCTCCAGCCATCTTCAAGAGAAGCTGCGCCAAGCTGCTCTTCCGTGGGTAGTGCAACTTCCAGCTGCTGCGCGTAGTCCTGGGCAACTCCGGCGTCCCGTAGTTTCTCAATGTTGAGTTGCGGCGTTCGACTTCGACGGGTGTTATGCACCGTTGAGAGTTTTGAGCGCATGCATACTGCAATTAGGTAGTGGTCCGAATCCATGTTCGCACTGCGGTACGTGCGAACGTTGATAATGTCGGAGAAGAATTTCCCGTCGATTAGAACGTGATCGATTTGGTTTTCTGTGTGTTGTTCAGGTGATCTCCAGGTGGCTTTGTGGATATCCTTGCGGGGGGAAAAGGTGGAGTACACGTAGTATATGGGATTTGACCTAATAGGGACCAACATGGAATATCTCGCGATCCTGGACATATAGTAGGTTACTGTCCTCGGCAAAGTTTTTCTGTTGATTAAGATCTAATGGTTGGTGGACAGAAGTTCGGAATTTTCCTGCTACGAGGCGCTAGTGTGATTGAATTTGTGATTCCCTAGTTTACGTTATAACTTGAAATCCGTGCCATTTAGAAAGTTGCTGTCTTGGGCGAAGTTGTTCAGTGGATCAAGACCTAATGGTTGGTGGACAGAAGTTTGGAAATTTTTCACTACGCGGTGCTAGTGTGCTTGAATTTATGATTTCCTAGTTTGTGTTATATCTTGAAATCCTTGCGATCTAGAAAGTTGCTGCCTTTCAAGCTCAATGTTCAAACACGCTAGCACCACATAGTGGAAAAATTCCATTCTTCTGTCCACCAAACATTAGGTCTAGATCCTATACACAACTTTGCCCAAGACAGCAACTTAATAGATGGGAAGGATTTCAAGGTATCACATAGAAAAAACATCACAAATTCAAGCATACTTGTGCCGCGTAGTGAGAAAATTCCGAGCTTTGTCCATCAACGATAAGGTTTTGGTCCACTGAAAATTTTTGCCGCAGGCAACAACTTCCTAGATGGCAAGGATTTCAAGATATGACACAAACAAGGAAATCACAAATTCAAGTAAACTAGCACCGCGTAGTGAGAAAATTTCGAACTTCTGTCCAACAACTATTAGGACTCCATCCACTGAACAACTTTGCCGAAGGCAGCAACTTCCTAGATGGCAAGGATTTCAAGATTTCACGTAAAATAGGAAATCATCAATACATTTATACTAGCGCCACGTTGTGATCGACTGAACAACTTTGCCGAAAGCAGCGATCTCCTAAATGGAAAGAAGTTTAAGATATCGACAAAAACAAGGAAATCACAAATGCATGCACACTAGCGCCGCGTAGTGAGAACAATCAAAACTTCTGTCCACTAATCATTATGTCTAGATCCACTGCACAACTTCGCCGATGACAGCAACATTCTAGATGGCAAGGATTTCAAGATATAACAGAAACAAGGAAATCATAAATTCATGCACACTAGCGCCACCAAGTGAGAAAATTCCGAACTTCACCACCAAAATAAGGTCTTGATCTATTGAACAATTTAGCCGAAGAAAGCAACATCATAGATGGCATGGATTTCAAGATATCACACAAACAAGGATATCACAAATGCGTGTACACTAGCGCCCCGTTGTGAGAACATTCCGAACTTCTGTCCAATAACGATAAGGTCCACTGAACAGCTTCGCCGAAGAAAACAACCTCCTAGATGGCAAGGATTTCAAGATATCACAAAACAAGGGCATCATTAATTCATGCACACTAGTGCCGCGTAGGGAGAAAATTCCTAACTTCTGTCCACCAACCTTTAGGTCTTGATCCACTGAACAACTTTGCCCAAGACAGTAACCTTCTATATGTCAAGGATCGCGAGATATTCCATGTTGGTCCCTTTTAGATCAAATCCCATATGCTACGTGTACTCCATTTACGCGAATTCGATTTACGCGGTGCGTATTACTCGCCCTCTTCGGAATAAATTCTTGTTCACGTGGAATTCAAATGCCAATCAGGAAAGAAAGTTTAAAACACCTTTTAGTTGAAACTTTCGCACAGCGGTTTCGTTTCCTTCGACAGTTCCAACGCATTTCGCACTGCACTTTCCGCTTTACTAAAGAAAATGAACGGCACTCGCTTCCGGCAAGCGAACGTGAGCAGATTTCCCAATCGTGATAAAGTGAAAGGTTGCAAAGTTTGAACTTCTCCTCGCTCGGTCCAAAGCTTCGAAACGCAATTTCTCCTATTCAAGGAAAAGCAAATGTTTCATTCCGAACATGATTTCCGTGTCCTTGTAGTCTGCTTTGTAGCAGCAGTGGTTTGTGTGTTGGTGCTCGAAGGGTGGGAATGCTTGCTGTGTAACCTGTGCCATTTAAACGTGTAAGCATAGAAAGCGTACCTTAACAGAATATAGGTTAACAATCGAGGCTCGTTCAATTTAATGGGAATGGGTTGCAAAAATGTAGGATGGAGGTTGTTATGTTTCCGTTGGCTGCCGATGTGGGTACCAAAGAAATCCCTAGCGATGACGGCAAGGCTCATGTAGAGGCATTAAATTTTACGATAAGGCTTCTTCTGTTTTGCTCAGCTTGGTGCTAGTCTAAATGAACGAAACGAGGACGCCTCGTGGAATGTTGATGTGATACGGTGTTGTGCTATTATCATAAATGAGGCCGACATTGATCGGGATGGATCGGTTTTCATGCATACGAAATGGGGACTAGAACAGGGCACACTTCTGATACTCTGTACTCTTATCTTCTTTTAGATTATGCCAAAGCATCATCATTCTCCAGTGCATCATCATCATCATGTAAGTTGTTTTATGTATGATATTTGCCAATTGGATAACGAAGACAAATTTCTTCCACCAGCCCGATCCAGCATGCAACGACCATCTGGCGCACTCGATCGACCTGGCTACGACTCTGCGCAGCGAGCTGGCCGCGTCCACCTACAAACGAGACCGCCTGATGGCAGAGCTATCCGACGCCAAAAGTACCCTATGTGCAAAGGAAAACGAGTGTGAAGCCTTGCGAGCTCAAAGTGCTCGCCAAACGTCCCTCATTAGCTCGCTTCAGCAACGGCTGTCAGCTTCCGAATCCCGTGAGAAAACCCTCCACTCGAGGAGTGAAAGTGTTGTCGGCACTCTGAATCGTGACAAGAAACATCTGGAGGATAAGCTGAAGGAGCTATGCGCCAAGACGAGAAGGTTGGAGTGCGACCTGTCCAAGGAAGAAGGACACCGGGATCAGGCAAGAGCTCACTTGCAAGATTTGGTAAGGAGGTTGTGTCTCTGCCTGGGGATCGACGTATGCGATGGTACCCATCTCACACCGGAATGCGTCCTGAACAAAGCCGGGGAAACGGTGGCCGAGTTGCAGAGGTTGCGGTCGAAGCTGGCAGGAACATGTGAGCATCTGAATTCCACCGAAGCGGAACTCATCACAAGCAAGACGGCTGCTTCGGCCGATAAGACCCGGCTGCAGACGCAGATCGAAGGGCTCCAGTCGCTGGCGCAGGGTTTGGAAACACGGTGCCGGCAAGCGGAAAGGGATCTGCAGGTGACTCGCGATCGGCTAGCGGAAAGTGAAGTCAATGGGGATAAGCTAAGAGGTGGGTGTAGGATTTTGTTTTGTGAATGTGACGAAGATCGTCTTCTTTGTTTTTTTTTAGAGGAACTCAGAGGTTTCGAGTCTCGGTGTTGTCGGCTTCAGAACAGCTGCGATCGATTGCAAACCGAGCGGTTACAGTTTTTACGAACGTTGGCGACGATCATCGGGATTAATGAACCTTGTGAGAATAATATCCGGGATAAGGTCCGGGAGATTACGAACCACAACCAGTCGCTGCATGATGTAAGTAGTCAGTAGATTTTATATTATCAATAATTTGATGGTTGATGGAAGCTCTGTGTGAGAAGCAGCGTGGCACTGAACCGCACAGTGGATACTGGATGTGGTGTTTTCGTTTTCATGTCCAATCGGGCTTATTTATTAGAGCTCCGAACAAGATGCCTCCGAACAGCGCCGGTAGTGTAGTGGTAAGCATGATTACCTCTCACCCCAGCAGGCCTGGGTTCAATCCCAGTCGGCGTCGCCGGGATGTTCTGAGGCATAACATCTCTGATCACGCCTTCCTTCGGATGGGAAGTAAAGCCGTTGGTCCCCGGTTCATGAGTTGATGGGTCGATAGGTAGGGTCCAGGTGTTGGAGCTGCCTTCGTGGTACGTCGGTAGCATTGGTGCTCAGCACGGAAAACAAGATCGACGGAAAAAACAAACCAAAGGAAAAAAAAAAAATGACTCCGGTAAAACGTGTAACGACAAATCGGCTAAAACCATTGCTCAGATAGATTCGATAGATTTTAAATCTATTGAAACTGACTAAAATTAAAGTATGTAGTTTCAAATGGCGCCAACAGATTTGAAATTTGTTAACAAATGGCTAAGCTATGCTTTTTCAAAAATTGAAAGTTTGCCGTTCCATATTTCTAGACTAACATTTGAAAAGGGCGTAACCATAACCATATCGAGAAAATCGCATCCGAATTTTGATGACCTAAAAATTAATCCTATTTCACGGCTTTCCATTTTCTGGATGATTTTATAAGCTTGACATATAGTTAGTAGTGTAATCTATCATCTTGCATCACTAAAAACTTTAAAAAAAAAGTTTTTGTTGTCGTGAAATTGAGAAGAAAACACCATACGCCCTGATAATTTCAACACTGGTGATACGCCGTGGAAATACACCCTCGGGATTTTTTGTTTGTTGTTCCACCTTGGTTCTTCGTTCGCAAATTTTGTGAGAGTGGAATTACCTACGCCCGGAGATTTTTTTTGGTCTTCTTTTTGTTCATTGTTTACACGTGAAATATCAACCGGATGCATTTCAAATTAATCGGGCGTGACTAGATACTACAGAATCAGTTTGTTTGACATATTAAACAATATAATTCGTAGTTCTGGTGCAAGGTGTAACAACTAGATGCATCATAGATTTGTAAGTTGGAAAAACGCCATGTAAGAAGAATCGTTTTTGGTGATTTGAAGTGATATTTTCTTCTACTTTTTCGTGTTTATCGAGTAGTTTGTGAACTGTTATCTCTATATGTGACAAAATATGGTTTGTTTACATTTTGGAGTTATGACATTTTCAAATGTTAGTCTTGACTTTAAGGGGGAATCGTGTTCGGAGTGTTGGATCCGTTTTTTAAAATAAATTCATGGGCATAGACAATCTTGGTTGGTCAAAAAACAAGGAAAAATGATTGAAATTCACCCCATTTTATAACATGATGAATAAAATCGATTTGTGTAGTCACCTTATCTACCGTTCAAGATCATAAGGGCCTAACTGCAATGATCGATTCTCTTAATCGTTTTTTATATTTGCATTACTACAGTTAAGTGAACTCGTTTTTGACGTAGACTACGTCTTACGGGAAGGTACTGGGGGTAAATCGAAAATCTAAAATTGCGACCGTCACGAAAAGGTGTAAAATTTTGAACGCTATAAGCTTTGTCATTTACAGATGAAATTAAAATCCGAATACACCAATTGATAGGAAATACCTTTCGTAAGCTGTTGCAATAAACTTTTTTTTTCAATTTTTCATTAATAACTGTTTTAAAAATGAACAAATAAAAAGTGATAATTTTATCACTGTTTTCATGAAATAAACGTTCTCCCCAAACCCAGTCCTCATAATCAAGTACAATTTGGTTGCACATCGTGCTGCTTGAATCAGAAAAGTTATAAAACAGCGCTGCTAATGTTCGGACGGCGGTTAAACAGGTAGCAGTAGGAAGGCGCTTCCTGTCAAGCGCGCAGAGTTCGAGTTTTGCACCTCGAACTTTGCGCGTCGTTCCCGTCGAGATCATTGGCTGCTGGTAGCAGCGTCGCCTCGATGGCGCAAGCGCTCCTTGAATTTTCAGAACCAGTCGCTCAGCTTTTGTAAACAACGCATTTTATCGTCGATTTGGCATAACTAATAGCTCACCCCACATGCTAACACCGCTAACAGGTTTGGAAAATTTTCCCCTATCTGATGGTAGTACTAGCATGCGTGAGCGAGCTACCAGTTACGCCAAATCGACGATCAAATGCGTTGTATACAAAAGCTGATACGTTCCTTCGAAAAAGTAATCGAGAAATACTTCTTGGGCTGAGTACCAATTGCCGAGTTACATTAAACTCGTGGTTAAACGTGACATTTCGTAAGTTATTTTCAATGTTCGAAAATGCCGGAAATTGATCAGTTTTCAAACAGAACTCAGCCACGGTTACCAAAATTTAACTTCTAGTCGGTCCGGTTATTCGGTAACTCATCTGTCACTTTTAGCCACGAGTTAAATTTAACTCGCTCATTGCGACACAGCCTTGGAAGTAAAATTATGGCCATCCATAAATTACGTATATTTTTGAAAAATTAACCCCCCTTCCCCCTCGGAGCGTGTTTTGCAATACACTTAACACATGGCCGGTCCCAACTTCTGTAACCCCTCTCCTCCCTCAACTACTACTTTATTTATGAAAGTTCCCTAATCATTGGGCAACACTGAAAGACAGCAGCACACACCTCACAAAATGGGTTAGACATTCATGCGAAATTTCAGTATTGATAGTCAATATTTCGCGATCAGAACATTTTAGCTTGAAATCCCTCCATTTGATTTTCGGTACATCTTTAATCTATTGATTTAATTAAAAAAATCTTAATATGTTTTTTTTTAGATTTCGTGCGTTTTGTGAACGCACATTCATTATTTTGCTTAAGAAAACGGGAACGGGGTGTTTCTGTGGTGATAAAAAGGATAAATGTGATAAATTATCAGACGGTACGTCTATTTATGCTTTTAGATTAGCTATGAAAGTACCTCCTGCTTGGAAAATTATGCTTTAGAACGGTTTATATAACCCCAGTTTTTTTTTTTTGCATAATTCTTTAAGTAGGAGGGACTTGCAATGCTTATCTCTTAGCATAAATAGAGGTACCGTTGAGTTTATTTTCAGTGCTAGGTTCTGAAATTCGACAGTGAGCGTTTAAAAGGGCCTACTTGTAATGTTCGATTCTCTTCATCGATTTTCTGTTTACAGCTAAGCGAAACAATTCAAACTGAACATTGCATTAGGTCCTAAGTAACACTGACAAGATTATCTTCGTCGCCTTTCTCCTTGAATCCACTCGGCCCAGGTATTATCAGCACACATATCGATACAAGAAGTTTTCATCTAGCATCTAATATGATAAACACAACAAGAAACGATTCTGTGCTCAAGTTATTAAGGCTGTGTTCCATTTCGTGAATTTTACTTAAATTTGACAGATAGAAAATTTTCAAATAAACCTGCTATTCCAGCAGACTTATTTCTGACAGACAAGGAATCAATTTGACAGACGCTTTCTCGAAAATCGGCCGATCTACAACAGAGGGATTTTCGAACATCTCAATTTATTTTCGAAGTGTCAAATCTAAGTGAAAATTTTCCAAACGGAACACAGCCTTATTTTTTTTTTTTTATTATTTGTTCAATCGGTAGATAAAAGATGTACCGAGAACTTATTGGAGGGATTCATGGTTAATTGATATCATCTCGATCAACTATGAAATGTTGCATAACATTGATGCAAAATTGTGCACTCCGTTTTTGTGTGTGCATTTATTTTTAGCGTTTTGAAGTTGAATCGCTGAGGATCAATCTTATTACCACAGAAAAATTTCAAGAGTACAGATATCAGCTCTCACAAAAATTATAACAAAGAAACTGGAACTTCACGTTTGTTGCAGATATCAGCTCTCACAAAAATTATAACAAAGAAACTGGAACTTCACGTTTGTTGCAGTCCAGTACACAAGGAGTTTCAATTTCATGAGTGATGTCACAACCGTCCAAGATGTGTGTCCTAGAAATCTTGAAGTGATAGGGAATATCAGCCATCATGACGGTCATTGTTGGACGCTTCAATGAATCACCTGATGAAAGCCTTACTAATATCTGATTGTAATTTAGGAACCAAATGAAATAGAATATGTATTCGCATTTTTATGAGGTCCTGAAATTAACCAAGTTTTACTAAGTAGGAAATCCAAAACATGTACATTAGACCTGTTCATTTTAAACGAAATGTTCCGAATGTAACGGGTCAACCGTGATTACTGTTCGTCATGTTAATTTGTACTTCTGTGTAAATTTTCAGCAAAATCGATGATGATTTAGCGGTGTTTCAAGTTAATTTTATGTTTTTAAGGTAATTTACGGCTTACAATATTTGTATCTCGAGACTGAAATAACGAAAACTGCTGTAACAACTTTCATAGCAAAGTTTAATGTGTCATGTATCAACTTTGTAACCAAAGGTTGACTATTCGAAGTGATTTTATTGAAGTTTGACTTAGTTTCATGCTCGAAGATATCTTAAAATGTGAAGAATTTTAAAGTATTTGTTCTACGAATTTTCCACCCATATGATATAAAAATGTGTAGTGTACGGCATAATGTTCCTCATATTGCTTTTCAATGACGACCGATGACTGTTACATTGATATATGATTTTTTCATAAATATGAATCCTCAGTAGACGTGTTTTTTTATCAAAGGCAAGTGTCACTCGAGCCATTCAAAATGTTCGTTATTTTATAAATTGCTGTTATGGTTCGAGTGACACTTGCCTTTGATAAAAAACACGTCTACTGAGGATTCATATTTATGAAAAAATCATATATCAATGAAACAGTCATCGGTCGTCATTGAAAAGCAATGCAACTATGTTCTGTCAATCTAATTGACTTTTATTGGTTCTGTTGTCTTGTGAATTTTAGCTAAACGGCCTCTTTTCTGATTTTTATCTCTCA